ATTTCTATGACTTGGTTTTCTTTTCCTCATGGGTATATTTCATATTCCTCTGTAACAGCACATGTATTTCACTGTTTTCATTCTAAAATAATATTTGACTTAGAGCAGGACTTAAGTAGACCATGAATGCCAAGACTTAGTTACATGTGGAGTCCAAGACAGACATTGTATTAGATCCCTTATCATTTAGGTACACTGAAACATCAACAAAACCCAATTGCATTAGTACCTTGTAAAGTGTTTAAGCCTTGAAAGCTTTTGTTTCTTAGGTAAGTGAAGATGGATGAGTCTATTTGTACAGATCCTAGAACAGCTCTGTAAGACTAAGCTTAAGTTTTATATAGGGAGAAGAATATGAATCATAGAATCATAGAATCAACCTGGTTGGAAATGATCTCCAAGATCATCCAGTCCAACCCTACCGTGGTCACTAGACCATGGCACGAAGTGCCACATCCAGTCTCAGCTTGAAAACCTCCAGGGATGGTGAATCCACCACCTCCCTGGGCAGCACATTCCAATGCCTGAGCACTCTCTCTGTAAAAAATCTCTTCCTAATATCCAACCTAACCCTCCCCTGGCAGAGCTTGAGTCTGTGCCCTCTTGTCCTGCTGCTGGTTGCCTGGGAGCAGAGACCAACCCCCACCTGACTCCAACCTCCTGTCAGGGAGTTGCAGAGGGTGCTAAGGTCTCCCCTGAGCCTCCTCTTCTCCAGGCTGAACACCCCCAGCTCCCTCAGCCTCTCCTCATGCCACTTGTGCTCCAGTCCCTTCACCAGCCTCGTTGCTCTGCTCTGGACCTGCTCCAGCCCCTCAATGTCCCTCCTGAGCTGAGGGGCCCAAAATTGTACACTGTAAAAGCAAAAGCAGTGAGTTGTTTTAACTTTATTTCATTATAGCAGATGGACAAAGTGATTAGAAAACAAATAAAAAAACCCAGGAAAATTCCGGAGTTGTGCTATTTAACTGCTGTGCTGTTCAGTGCTATTTATAAAGAGCATAGATTTCCAATCTCTTAGTCAATGTAATTCACAATTGTAATGTATTTCATATTTTCCAATATTCTCAACAGTTCAGCTCAGCAGCTCCTGGTGGTGCTTTCACAAATATTTCAGAGCAGAAGAAGAAAACAGCAGTTTGCAAAAAGGAAAAACTCTCAACAAATAAACTCAAGAGGAGCCACAAGCAGAAAAAGATTAAAGTCACCCCCAAATGGTAAGGAATATGGTTTTCAGCTTCCCTAGAGACAGACATAATTTTGCTGAAATAGGTGCAAAATGTCCTCAGAAAATAAAAAAGTCATCCCCAAAATTCAACCTTGTCAAAACTGGAGGAAAAAAATAACTCTCTATTCTCACACTGCAGCAGTTCCCCAGAGGTAAACTCTGAACAATACCAATATGTGGTTTACTGTCAGGAACAGACTTCACTAAACCAAAGAGACACATCCCAGAGAAAGATGATGACTGATCAGTGGAGTCTCAGTATGCTTTAGAAACTATTCCTATCTGTCAAAATTGTCAGCGTTAACTTTTATTTGAAGGAAACCAAAATCCTTCCGTTTGTAACCCTGTTCCAGCTGAGAGCAGTGTGCAAGGCCCTTCTGTCCTCAGCAGATCTGTATCCTGAACTTGTATTCACAAGAGAATGCAGAAGAATAAATATCAAGTTCAACAGAAACTAACAAAACCATCTGTAGTTCAAAGGATCATCAGGTTTAAATAAAGAGCAGGAAGAATTTGAGCACAGAACTCTCAAAGACACATTGTCCCAGTCAGCACAGCTTCCCTGTGTTTAATGGGAGTTGGTATCAGTGGACAACTCAGCCTCTCATCTTTCAGGAGTGTGGGGCAGCAGAATGCCTGATGAATTGCTTCAATAAGAAACACATATTGTGTGCATACATCCCTCTTATTCTATTTCATGACCAAAATCAGATGGAATGACTCCCTCGGGGACAAATCAGTGTCAGTAACTTAATCACTGTGTCTCGTTTGGCAAACAGCACTGCAATTTTGCAGGATCATAACAACAGAAATAGAAGACTCAGATCTATGTCATCCAGCCCAGGGACATTCTCCTAGGACTTTTTTTCTGGTTTGTTTTTTGGGTGGTGTCTTGCTTTGTTTTTTTCCTGCTGGTCTCAGAATTTATTTGGCTATAGGTACAGGGATTCAATCGAGTACAGGGTCCTGAAATCTCAGGCCATGCATCTCAGTAGCTAACTGCCCCAACTGGTCATTACAAAATGGGATTTTCTAATACACAAACCCCAGAATAAGTGTGTCCTTTTACATGCACATCTTGCTCTGTGTGTGGTGACTGGGTCTAGCAGTTTAGAGATGGGACCTTCCCATGTACTCTAGTCTCAGTCATTCAGAGTTACTGAGAGATTCAGCCAGAGTGGAAAGCAAAGCAGAGATGAATTATTCAGCATGAGTTTTCTAAAGAACCAAAACGTTGTTCATTAGTGATGGTAAACAAGGGGCACGTAAGAAGTGTAAAGGACAATAGCCAACAACTGTGCAGCCTCAAGTGATTCCTGTGTGATTCAAGTTGCATGTGAAGCATGTAATTTTAAAATTCCAGATATGGGAGAAAGATCTGTTATTCCTGAATCCTTTTCTCTTAGCAAACCAAGGATTCACTGAATCCTACAGAGGGGAAAAAAGGTAATAGAATAATTGTAGATCTCTTGCCTAAAATCCTGATTTTTATGAGTCAACATAAACTAACATGTTCACTGTAGTTAGATTTAACTGTACCTGATGAGGTGCTATTATTCTGCTCTGGCTGCTTTTACATCTCCCATATTTTTTACCCTTTCAATGTCACTGGCACTGCAGGTACAGAGGGAGGCACATCCATGGATATGCTCAGCTGAAAATGAACAGGCTAAGCAAGAGGCACTGCTTTCCAAACAGGGCACTGGATGCTTTGAGAAAGGGCTATTCATCACAAGCCTCTAAGTTTAATAAGCATAAGAAGTGCCATTCTCCTCAGTCCAAGGTGCAAGGTAAGGCTTCTGAATATTTAATTGATGTTGGTGCACTGATATGATGACAAACATAGTAAGTTCTGCCATCTGGGGGAATAAAAATCAAAGTTTCTTCACCCTCTTTCCAATAGAAAATTACCTACACCAGCAAAAAGACACATCTTATTCCACCTCAGACAAACCACTTTGCAGAAGGAAAAAAGAAGGAAAGAACAACTCAGGAATATCTTCCCATACTGAAAACCTAAACCATGTTAAACAAAAAGACAAAATGGATAAAAAAGTAGGTATTGTACCTTAATTCCTGTATTACTTTTCATTAAAATAAAAAGATAGATTGTTCATTGAAACCTGAATTATTTTCAGCTGTTTGATAGTCCAAGTGGAGACAGCTTTGTATCACAGATTTTGTTTAAAACGTGTAAAAATTTGTTAAAAGTATTTTGGGGGGTTAAAATATAACGAAAACTTACTAACGTTAGAATTGATTTTTCTAAAAGAACAATTAAACTTACACCAATTGAATGGAATTGCTCTGGATTGAACATTTGAAATGCAACTTTTTTCTCCCCCTCTCTTAATTTCTACAGGACATTTCTGGGCAAATCAGGGAACACACAAGAACGAACTTCTCTTTCCAGAACATTCCAACTCCTCTGGGAATAGCTGTGACAGCTCACTCCTTTTCCTCCACAGTTAGCACAGCCATGCAGCAAGTCAGCAGGGATGTGGCAATCTGCTGTGTGGTGACACAGCCCCTGGTGCTGCAGCACTCAGTGCTGGGGCAGTCCCAGCTGAGCCCTCAGACTCACTCAGTGTCACCTTCGTTTGGGTCTTGTCCTGCTGCTTCTACAAATACAGGCACAAGTGACCAACTCGACAGCACAAACCCACAGCCTTCTGGGCCTCTTTCCTTACATCTAGAAGCAAGTCAGGAAAACATATTGAAGGCAGAGTCAGAGAGCCAAGTGTTTGGTACATCAGAGCCAGTGGTCCAGACCTCAGGAAGGGAGAAATCTCCAGCTGAAGAAAACACATATTCACCTCCCAAAGAAAACTCAACTCCCAGTTCCCAGCCTGGATGCTCATGTTTATTTGGAGCAAAATCAGAGTCTCTTCCTGAGTCAGTCACAAAGGCAAAGTTACCCAGCAGAGAATACACAGAGCAGGCAAAGTTGTCTCACAAACTCCTGGACCTTCACAGAAGTGCAGACAAGAACGGAGCTCACCTGCAGCCCAGGCACTATGGGAGGCCACATGGAACAGCTACTACTACCTTTAGAAAGGCTCCAATTACTCTGAGATCCCCTGAGTTCAGGAGTTACTCTGCAGCACCTTCTAAGACATACAAGAAGAGAGGTTTAGAGATGATGAGGAAACAAACCCGAGTGGACTACGATGACACCAGCAGTGATGATGAGGACAGGCTGGTTATAGAGATTTAGCAGACAGGCTGCTGGCACAGGGCTTGTGTGAGGGGACTGAAGGAAATGCCAGGGATGTTTGATCTCTATTTCTGAAACACCTTAACATCAGCAAAGCCATCCCTCTTCCCTTTGGAAGAGCCCTTTCTTTCAAGGACTCAAACATTTTTAGCAAAGCTTAGCTGAAGCTGCAATCACACATTTAAAGGCAAGAGGTAACCCTGTGTTCCTGAGGAGTTTCCAGCATTGATAATGTTCTTGCCAGTCTCCCAAAATTCCCACAAGTGCTGGCTGCCAGTGGGTGTGTTATTCTGAGGCTGCAGAGTGTTTGGTTACTCCTAACTACAACAGCAGCAGCTCCCTCAATGTACAAGCTGAGATTCCCTGGCAGGGTATGAACATGTTATATATCCTCCTCTTTTCTTGTAGTCACTGCCTCTGTCCTGGGAGTGACACACTGGCATCAAGGGGAAGATCTGTCCCCTAAGTATCTGTGATGTTGGAAGAGTCTGGAAAAATGCTGATCTTTTTCCATGTTGCACAAATGTCAATGCTTCTTTGTGAGAAATGACACAGGCATGCTGTGCTTTGTGTTTTGTGCCTTTTATGCCAAGACCTACCCAAATATTCTTGATTTCTAGGTGGAGAATATGGGTGTTAGCTGTTGATATTTCCTTGTGGTAAAATTTCTGACAAGGATTTTCTCCTTGTATTTGTCACATTGTGCTCCAACCTATGTCACCTGGAACATTTTATTTTTAATGTAATTTTACCTGCAATGATGCTCTTTTTTTGAGGGTAAACAAGCTAAATGGCATAGATTGTTTTCTTTTTTTTAACAAAAAGTTTTGTGCTACAAACCCTAAAATTTACTGGTTTCTATGTGAATAAATAATTAGATATTTCAACTTGACCAAGGGTATTCACTTGCTTGATTAAACTGATGAACATTAGAAACATTTCACTTCTACATCAGAGTCAAAGTCAATCCTTAAACTTTGACTGTTCTTGCATTGTGACTCACACTTGGGTTAATGGATTAACCTATATGGGATATTTGGAATTGCTTTTACTTTAGTCATGCACAGGTAAGTTTAGAGAGATCATACACACAAAGAAATCTAGTACATACTGGCTGAGAAAAATAAATTATGTGTGCACAAAGGTGGCAAAAGAGGTCACAGATAAAACATGTGCCAAGTCCTATGCAATTCCTGGGTATTCAGATATCTTACAGACTTGACAAGACCTGAGATTGGCAATACAGAGCTTCACCTTTAGCCCTTTATCTTGCTCTGTTCAGTATCAAGACAAACTGGAGAGGTTTCAATGAATATTGCAAGGAATTCAGATAGTGTGAATTCAAAGAAGTAAACAAATACAACTTTGTAAGAGAAAGAGGAAAAGAAGAGGAAAGAGAGAGGAGGAGGAGCTGCCATCAATACTGCCATGATATTGAACTATGTAAAGATTTTTTTCTGAAGGAGTCACTCAATATTTTCATCTTCAACCCTCCTGTGCAGCTTTGCTAATAGGATGGATGACAAGAAAGTGGTTGGGGCTTTTTTTCCCACTTTTTAATCAGAATTTTCAATTCTGTGCCATCCCATCCAAAAATGGGACAAGGTAAAATTTCAAATGTTTCAATGTTCTGCAAAGCCTCCTACAAATGTAGAGTCTCTTACAGCTAATGGGAAATTTCCACACCTATTAAGTCTCTCTGATTCAGCTGTAAAGAAAAGCTTTGACAAACACCTTTAGACAGCACAATGTAAGAAAACTATTGCTCCAAACCACACCAGGAGCCTCCACAGCAATGATATTCACCTCTTGCTTGTGCAAGAGTTTATTACTATAACATACATGTCATGAATATGTTATATACAGTTTTTTGCATAGTGTTTGTGGCTAAATGATGCATTTTAAGTGGAATTTCTAGGTCAATAATTTAGAAATATTCTAATGGCAGACTCAGAAGTGCTGTGCAAAGAAACATTTATCTTATGTATATTTTACAGCATGAAGTATAGAAATGTCTTTGTCATATTGCAGCTGTAGCTGGAAGAAAAATGGGGCAAGTTTAAGTTAGCTAAGAAAGTAAATTTTAAACTCCATTTCCTGACAGAAGTAATCCTTGATAATTTAACTCCCTGTACAGTACAGAAATGTAACTTTATATTAGTTCTTTAAAAGTGTCAGTCGGTCCATAGTGACATTTTAACAGGATCACTAAAGAAGTCAGTGACTCCAGCACAAATCTTCTTAGCCATAACAACCTTTGGCAGAGTAAAGTCTGAATTATGTATGCCAATGTGTGAGGACTGTGAGAAATGGTCTTGGTTTAAGTTAGAGAACTCAAGGAGTTCACATACCAAAATCCATACAGCAAATAATGTGTTTCAGCTTTCCAGAAGACACAGAATAACACACCAGGATAAACAGGCAAACTATTCTCTATCTTTTTACACAGCAAAAGTATCAGCCATGCAGTGATGTATTTAATTCACTTGCAAGTAGCTGAACATCAAAGCCACATGAGGGCACCAGGCACAGAGAGAAAAATCTGTGTTTCTTTATCCTTCAAAGCCAGCAGCAGTTCTGATGGATTATTGCTTTGCTATGAGCAAATCTGAGATTCCTTTGCACATGCATCTCATCAATTTTTTCTTCCTTCCAGCAAAGAAAGCAAATTACTGAGGAATGCTGACCACCGATAAGGTCTAAATTCAACACCTACATCTCCCCAGATAGAATGGAAATTAGTGGATGTTTCAGATTTTGCCTCTCTAGGTGTGAGCACATTATTTGTTATTGTTTCAGACTCTTAAGTTAGATCTTATTAATTATTGATACTTCACAGCTCTGCCTGGCAAACCCCAACTCATACACAACAGTGGGTGAGAGGTGTGTGAACCAACAGCAAGCCCTGAGGTCACCAGCTAATATAAAGGTATAACTTGAACATAAGTCTATCTTGAAGCCACTGGAATTGGCTCCATAGAGGAAGCTTCCACCCCTGCAGCTCTCACTACCCAACCCTTGCCATGCACACCCAATACAGGATCACATTACTTAGGGCTGCAACAGACTTTCTTTCCAGCCCTATTTTTGCTCATAAAATCTTGTTTGCCCCCAAACACAATGCCTAAAATATTTAGTACTGCTGTATCTGACAGGAAGCTGAGCATGAGCCAGCATTGTGCTCAGGGGGCCAAGAAGGCCAATAACATCCTGGCCTGGGGCAGGACCAGTGTGGTCAGCAGGGCCAGGGAGGTGATTCTGCTCCTGGTGATACCACACCTTGAATCCTGTGCTCAGTTCTGGGCCCCTCAGCTCAGGAGGGACATTGAGGGGCTGGAGCAGGTCCAGAGAAGAGCACCGAGGCTGGTGAAGGGACTGGAGCACAAGTGGCATGAGGAGAGGCTGAGGGAGCTGGGGGTGTTCAGCCTGGAGAAGAGGAGGCTCAGGGGAGACCTTAGCACCCTCTGCAACTCCCTGACAGGAGGTTGGAGTCAGGTGGGGGTTGGTCTCTTCTCCCAGGCAACCAGCAGCAGGACAAGAGGGCACAGACTCAAGCTCTGCCAAGGGAGGGTTAGGTTGGATATAGGAAGCTATTTTTTCCAGAGAGAGTGCTCAGGCATTGGAATGTGCTGCCCAGGGAGGTGGTGGATTCACCATCCCTGGAGGTTTTCAAGCTGAGACTGGATGTGGCACTTAGTGCCATGGTCTAGTGACCACGGTAGAGTTGGACTGGATGATCTTGGAGATCTTTTCCAACCTGGTTGATTCTATGTTTCTATGCTATACACTACTGACACACACAGGGATATCTCAACACATGGATTTCTGGGTTTGTATGTTGCCTAGGTTTTATTTGCTCAACCAAATTTGTTCCCATTCATCAGTGTTTATATAATAATTTTCATTTAGGTAAGTAGCTGTGTTAAACCATTAATATTACCTTAAGGATTTGTGTGGAATTATGGCCATGGATTAAGACTTTTGGCCTGTATTTTTCATTTACCATCTGCATTCCACAGGAGTCACATGCATGAAAAGGTCAATAGGCATTTTTTTTTTTAGACTTAAAAATACTGTGAGATTTTAACAGCTCATTTAAAGTGTCCTGGTGGAACTGGATAAATGTCACGTAGAATTACATAACTTAAAAGTTGTGTCTTCCAGGGAGCTGTAATGTTACCACAGTTTGGTTATGAGCCATCCTCTTAAGTACTTAAATATATAAAAGTGGTTTGCTTTCTCACAGTTAAAGTCAAAGTACCTATTGACCACTCATGACAACTGCCTAAATATGTTCTGTATTCATGCAATGCTTGAGTTTGGAGGAGTTACAAGAGCCAGTTAAGCAAGAGATGGATACACTGGAACAAATTTGTGGGTGCTTTACAAAGTAGTCAAAAAGGATTCTTGTGCTATGGGTGTATAGACTGTTTCAGCTTTAAAAACCTCACTATATAAGTCTCATTATATGTCTCATTATTAGTCCCTAATGATTACTAGTGCTTTGAAACTAAACCAGAACCAGGTGATTTTAATACAGGCAATTACTGAATCCTTAATTCAGTTTTGGGAGCCTCACAAGTTTTGTGCACATGGATTTGTGGCATGTTTTTGATTCACTGATTGACAAAACAGGCAATCCTGAGTACAACACTGGGTGTAAACATGAGGAGCATGTACTTCATCCAGCAAGGCTGGAAGGGTTTCAGTGAGCTAGTTCAGGTATCTAAGGCTCTGAGTCTTTTCAAAGACTCTTATGCCATTAACAAAGGAGCAGTTGGACGAGAGCCCTGGGAGCTGTTTCATAACCTGCTGTGGTCTTGTCTGCCAGCTGACTTTGACTGCCACTCAGGTTCAGCCTCACTCAGGGTCATTCTGGACCAGCACAAACAGCTAAGCCTTGATGGAGTCAGGCTTCAATTACACTTTCTGAATTACATTTAACCTCTGCAAAGCAAAGCCTCTTACACATTACAGAGGCATTCATGGGGCAAAATTCA